AAAAACTCCACATCTGAGGTGATTTGGGTGGAAATGGCCGTTTTTACCGTTTCTCTGGAACCCATTGGTCGATTTTGGTGATTGACATCTCTTTCTGACCGTTAGAGCCAATAGAATCGAAGGGGGATTTCCAAATACACACACACCTTACCATTGAGAAATGAGAGCTATGCGCACGCAGTTTTGCATGAGAGCGAACCTATCTCTCGCTCTGACATCTGGAAACGGAAAAGCAGGTTTATTGCTTATGGATTATTAGATATCATTTCAAAGGGACACATTGGATTAACCTATGGATTAAATTCACTAGCGTTTTTATCGTTTTAATGCCATTGAAGACCACTTTTGACATGACAACGACACAAGGTAAGCCATTTTGCCGTTTTTAGCTACCTAGCACCACATGTTTTGATGTCTGTTCTTGTTAATATCTTTGCGAGTTCTTATCATAGAGTGATGATGTATGTACCTATCGATTCTGTGTCATCTCACGATGCTAGTCGATATGTGGGATGTGCAGTTAAGATAAGTAATAAGGGTGTTATGAGTGAGTTTCTGTGCAGTAATGCGTTCGCATTTTTTCGCTCATGGCTAATTCAGAGGCAGAGCGTTTTTTTGAAAAAAGAAAAAAAAAATATCAGTTAGCTGAGTTTCTTCTTGTTACATGGATATAAAACATTCATAGTTTATTGAATATTAAGATGCCCTCAGACGCTGTTTCCTGCAGATGACGCGTTTTTTCCCCCGGTACCGGGGGGGCGGTGTAGAACAGGTTAATGCAACACCCCTAACATTTGTAATTGTTCTTTGAAGTAATGTTTGAGCGTGTGAATTCTCTGGGATCCAAAGTTCTTGGAATTGCCATGACGAAAAAATTTATCATAAAGCCAAGTTTGACATTGTTATGTGTTTGTTATTATCAATAACATATTAGAAAATCTGTGAAATATGTGATTATGTCTGTACTCTGGCTAAATCCCTCGTTGTGCAAAAGGCATTTGTTTTCAGATGGATTTGTGTCATTGACAACATGATGAATGTAGGTCTAGTATTCAGCTTGAGTTTGCCAACTATTGTGTAAAAATATCTGGATCTGTAGCAGGTAAATGCTCAGATATGTTAATAGATAGTTGCTAACTTTTACATGGTGTTGTACTGAGAATGATTCCTGTGTTGGAAACTGGGTGAGATTGGATGAGAGCTGCGAGCCAAAAGGGCCAAGGTTGTGGGCAGTGGTGTAACAAGGTTGTGATTGGCCCCGGTGCAAATATTGTTTTGGGCCCCCCATCGCCCCAAACATAATGGGGATGATGGTGGTGAGGCAGGTGAGCTATCGTTAGCTTCCGGCTCCGGCTGCCGCTGCACGTCAACATTGCTAACGTTAGCGCTCGATTTTGAGGACGATGTATGACAAAAAAAACGGTCTAATTTTGTCAGTTTAGCTGTTACATCTCCTTGTTCTCTCTTGTCTTTTCTCTTTTGAGCGCTGCTCTTGTGCTTTGGTTTGCTGTACATTATAAATGCAAGCTATTACATTTTTTATAATGCTGCCGAACTTGCTGCCGCTAGCTACAGTACAGGTTGATTAAATGGTTCGCTCGTCACGCAAGGTATCACGTGACATGAAAGGGAGCAAGGTCACTGGACAGACTTATTACAAATTAATTTAGGTTTCTTGGTTACTTCGAAGACTGCGTGAACCGGTCAATGCCATTGGGGCCCCAAAAAATATGTATTTAAAAAGATATTTAACAAAAATATATAACATTTATTTTTTTCATGGGCTCCTTGCTGGGCCCCGGTGTGTTGCACCGGCTGCACCGTCGATAGTTACGCCACTGGTTGTGGGCCTTAAAACCATAACAATGAGCTGAAAGACACTAAAAACACTCCTCACAGCTGAGCTGAACTACAGAGTCTAGTTGGTAAATCAAGCAACACCTTTCATATTACATGTCGTAATTTCATCTATTCTAAATAAAAAAGTAATGATAAGTACAGGTTAAACTTTAAGTCTTACATAAAATATATGAAAACACTAGTAATATACATTAGCAAGTTCCCTTCTTATGAATTTGAGAGGTAAACTTAATCAAGATGACTGTGTTTGAAAGAACAACTGTTTATTTCTTGATTTCACCTGACTATTTATTCAATACAAATTATAATCACCATTTATATAAAAATCTGTCAAAGGCTAATTTGGTCAGTCCTCCAGCTGACATGCTTCTAAGCAAAAACTTTGCAACCAAAAAAAGTGATAACATTGATACATTCAACCCAACTATCACCACAGTTTCAGTGAACACATGTTAAGCATCGCTAACTTCAATTTAAAGTCAAAATGACGGCTTGCCAAAGCTATCACACACCCATCATCAATCTTAGCTGTTTTGCCACCGTGCAAAGACATAACTAATGTAGTATCAGAGATCTCTTACAGAATCTGAGGAATCTCACATATTTTTAATTTGGACCTGGAGAAAACGTGGCCTTCAGCTTCGTTTACCTTTAGTGCTTTTGCTCCATGGCAACTCTACCATCAGATCCAAGTAGTTTCTGGTCAGGGCGAACTCAGGCATGGACTGAGGCATCTTTTTTAATCTGAATTCACATATATGAGATTAAATGTAATACAGGTCAGACTGTGGACTCATCAGTAAAATCGTACATTAAACAAAGTAAGACTAAGTATTCGAGACAATACCACATCTAAGAAATGTTTTGAAGGGATCAAGGGTATTCAAAGGTTTTAAAAACAAAAAACAAGCTTTGGCCTCAAAAGAGCCTTTTTTTAATTAAATTAATCAAAACATGATCTAAAAGAAAGTATCAGCATGTGGCATTATTTCACCAACTTTTTTAGAACTGTGGATTCAAACATGTCAGGACTTATAAATGCGAGTTTACCTCTTGAGCTCCTTCAGGCAAACTTTAAGTGCAGCTTCAGGCATTTTGGCTCTGTAGAGCTTCCTTTCCAAGGCTGCGGTGTCATCGCCATCCTCATCTTCATCTTCCTCATCCAGGTTAAATTGCTGGCCCGGGAACACTCCACCTTTACGAACTGATAACACCTGTTCAGATGAGACCCAGAGTCGTGAGCAGAGATATAAATAAAGATATTGCTGAAAGGAAAAGGAGAAATACAAACGTTTTGTTACCGTCTTCTCATTGTCAGGACTTTTTTTTCTGGTTTTCTGCAGCAGCTTCAGTCCCTCTATCTGTCTGGTCAACATCGGCAGAGCCTTCTTGAATCGCTCCTCCAAACTTAATGCATCAAGGACCTTCAAAGCAAACATGGATTTACAAAAACATGAATAGATTCACTTTAGAGAAAATCTTTAACGCAGGCCTACTATACTGTATGTTTCAAAGTCCAAAGGCTCCTCCAAGCATGCAACATTCAATATAGGTAAGTCATAACAACTGATTTTAAAAATCATATTAAAAAAAGATCAAAAAATTAATTAATATAAAAAAATACAAATTAAAATAATTATAAATAGAATATAAATTAAAATAAAATAGTGCAGGAGAATGGTGAAAGTGACACAATATGAAAGTAAATGCAGAAATAATAAAATTATATAAATGTAAAGTAAGTAATATTACAATATGAAAATGTATGTACCAGTATTAAAATAATTTCTCAATGGCAACTATCTAATGGTAGCCTTAAAAACATTGTGACCGTTATCCCATCACAGATCCAATGCAGGTACAGTTAATTATAAAGAAACACTGCACACATCTTTCCAGTGATTGACTATGTGTATACAAAATACAAAAACAATCATATCAACTGAAAAGAATGCTGATACCACATTGAAAACAGGCTTTAAACCATGAGTCACGTACGGTTATATCAAAGTAATGAGTTTGATGTATGGGAAAAACAGAGCTAACGCGTCACTTCACCTGGAGTTTCTCCTTGTTTGAGGTGCGGATCATGGAGGCTACCACATCAGGGAGAGTTTCCCTGGGCAGACTGTCCAGCAGACGCCTGAACTTAGCCACCACTGGAAGAGACATGTCCAACATGCCTAATAACTACACACACGGGAAGACATGGAAACACATTGGTGCAAGATTTAGTGACACCATTTTTCTAATGATCAGGGATAAAATCAGTTCAAAGCGATCAAACTTTTCTATTATTCCAAGGTTATGTTACACATTTTATTTGTCACACTAATTCTTCATATTTCCAATAGTTCATCGTTTTTTGTATATTTATATTACCTGTAAACATTTATCCTTATTGAATATTTTTGAGGTTTCTAAAAAACATTTTTAGTTCTATTTTTGATCCTTTTTTTACAATTTAATGTTATTACTGTGTTAATGCATGCATCGTTTTACACCAAACCAAATTCCCTGTATGTGTAAAACTACTCGGCAATAAACCTGATTCTGATACATGTCACCCCTCTGTGTCTCCAATGTGTGTTAAAGGTACACTACCAGTCAAAAGTTTGGACACAACTTCTCATTCAAAGTTTTTTATTTATTTAAATAGTTTCTACGTTGTAGATTTATACTGAAGACATCAAAACTATAAAAGAACACATATGGAATTATCTAGTAAACAAAAAAGTGTTAAAAAAATCCAGAATATGATTTATATTTTGCTGGCTCCTGCAGAATGCTGTGGTAGCCATGCTGGGCAAGTGTGCCTTGAATTCAGAATAAATCACCAACAGCCAGTGTCACCAGCAAAGCCCCCTAACCCCCCATCCGCTCACCTTCTCTGCGTCTCACAAGGACACGGCGGTTGGAACCAAAAATCTCAAATTTGGACTCATCAGACCAAAGTAGAAAACAATTCAAATAAAATAAAAACTTCAAATGAGAAGGTTTGTCCAAACTTTTGACTGGTACTGTATATCAAATGACTGAGTCTTTCTGAGTCTTGGTTCTCTTTGGCTGCTCCGGAGACTCTTCAATTCTCCTTGCCGACATTCAACAATTTGGCATGGCGCAGTCGTTCAGTTAGCCGGAATTTATTACACTTTCACCGGAATAGTCTGTTGAAGTCCAAATGAAAATCCAAGTGAAAATATTTCCCCTTAGCACAGTAAGAAACCATCAGCCCCTTTCACTAAGTGTGCAAAAAGAAGCCATCGCTGTTCTGTTTTGGTTTGTTTGCGAATAGTTTTTATTCTCTTTTGTTTTATAGGAGAATATGTAGGCCTAATGCTAAGGGAAATCAAGAGATACGGAGTAGGCTTGCACGAGTCTTATTAGTGTGTGTGTGTGTGTGTGTGTGTGTGTGTGTGTGTGTGTGTGTGTGTGTGTGTGTGTGTGTGTGTGTGTGTGTGTAGTACATGTTTGGGCATTGATTTTTGGGCCATGAAAAAAAAAAGAGACTCGTTTGAACGAGAAAGTATCTTGTGTTTTCTTTTTCATGGCCCTTAAGGGGCTGCGTATGTATGTTATTAAAAACATGTACAAAAAAAGGTCCGTAGTAGTTTTTGCTTATTTGATCCTTGTTATGACACTGAAAATGTAGCTCAGGCGCATCCCATTTCCACTGATCATCCTTAAGATGTTTCTATTACTTGATGGAGTCCACCTGTGGTAAACTAACTCGATTGGAAATGACTTGAACACACCTGTCTATATGAGGTCTTACAGTTGACAGTGCATATCAGAGCAAAAACCAAGCCATGAGGTCCAAGGAATTGACTGTAGACCTCAGAGACAGGATTGTATCAAGGCACAGTTCTGGGGAAGGGTACAGAAACATGTCTGCAGCATTGAACGTCCCAACGAGCACAGTGGTCTCCATTATTTGCAAATGGAAGATGTTTGAAACCACCAGGGCACTTCCTAAAGCNATCAGCCCGAAAAACTTTTACCCATTTAAACAGTCGTGGTAGATACCTTGTTTGTTTTAAACATCATAAATACACAAACAACAATGAATACTTACAGGTTGTGTACCCAAATCTCCCGCTGGTCCAAACAAAGTTGGAACAGCGTCGTTCTTCAGTCCTACGCTGTACATATCCGGCATGAATCGCTGAAAAGTTTGGGAAGCTTTGTTTCGTGAAATGCTGGCAGAGGGTGTGGCCTCTGGGCCTCCACACGTCACAGTACCCAGGAAGTAAACAATGGGAAATGAGAAATCTCCAACGAGGCGTTTTGGGGCAGCATAGACTGTGTTAGAGTTTTACTCGCTACAGGGTGTACTTTGAGGGTTTTTGACTCTGCAGACCGTCTACATGCATAAAAAGCTACATAACACACAAGGGACGGGTAATAACCAGGAAAGCATGACATGGGCCCTTTAATGTGTGTAGGGGGAGAGTTTCTTGTTTGTTTTTTCATATTTGTACTGTCTGTCCTGTCGCATTGCTCCTTCTGACCCGCGCTATCATAAAATCAGCACCTTTGGGTAGTTCAGTGGCAATTCATGGATATCTGCATAGTTTTGTTATTTTTTTAGTAACAGCGTTTAGCTCTGAATACATTTTTTGGTTTTTCAAATGTATTTTAAACTGAAAGCACAGTTGTGAAAAAAGTAAGATTGAAGGTCATTGAACTTGTATATCAGTGCTGTTTCTACTCATATGTCTGCTATGAAAAAAAGCCGTATAAAGAGTAACAGCACATAGTGTATGTAAATGAACTTCTATGTCATCAGCCTGCTGCTGCTGTGAGAGGTATTGTAGAGAAAATGTGCACACCTGTGTTACAATAGATTATGAATATCAGCACATGATTAGACCGCCTAATCACCCAAATCTGATCTGGCCACCTGTGAATTAGTGAGCAGTCAGACTAAGAAGTGACATGAGCGGCAGCTGGAGAAAACCAGCAGCTCTCACTTTTTCTAAAAGTCCAGGTTGTGTTAAGAGTAACCAATGAATTCTCAATGATGAGACCTGACAAACTAGAAACACTCAAGGTAACACTTTCCTTAATAAACATGCATTTTCCGTCCTCCACCAGCAAACTTAACGCAAAAAGCAGCCTGAAAATTGAATTAGCTGCCAGATTTTTCCCAACAGAGGTGGTTAACTTCTTTGTGGGTACTATTGTCAATAATTTAATCCCTCAAATCAAATTTGAAATGATTGATCATTTTAATAATCTTCTTCATGAATTGACAAATGTTTTGATTCTAGTCTAACAATCAGGATAAAGACATTTTGGAAAAGTACAATCATCTCACATCATTGGTAGAATTCTTGGAAGAATAAGTATTGAGGTCGACTGATAACAAATGACTTGTTTTGAGAAGTGAAATGAGTTCCCTCTGCGATGTGTTGCCGCTGAATGAGCTGCTTCTGTGTTTATTGTCTGGTTGATGAATGGACTGTCTCTCTCTGTACTGTGCCTCCAAGTCCAACAACAAAAATATTAAGAAGTCAGACCACATTTGGAGGTGGTCTGTGTCTCATATGGCCACATTATTTTAGCAATGTGTATGCAAATGCATCCGTGGCTCAACGGACAAAGCACCTACTCACATGACGTCCTCTGTAGGCGTAAGAACTAAGCACCGAGTCGTTGGTTTTGTCCAAGGCTGCTTTTCAACACAAGTAAGAATTGTATTTTGAAATGATTTCTCATCCCACAGACACCATAGATAGAGAAACTTGTGTTTTTGGGGCTATTATCATTTTTGGTGAGTGTCATTGTTGATGTCCTGGTACTCTCCATAGATTTGACACTTAGCCATCTGCTCTCATCCCTGCTATCTGGAGCTCTGTGCGCTGTGTTGGTGGCAGTAAGGTAGAAACATTGGTTGACAATAATTTTATATTTAAGGATCATTTAATCTATTTAAAAATCCAATCATATTACACTTACAGCCGTTTTACGGAGAAAAGTAGGCCCCTTGGCGCGAAGGCAAAAGACAAAGACACTATAGCTAGGAAGTGAGATCCAATCACTAGTGAGACACATTCTGAAGCCATGTGTGAACCATCGCCTTAAAGTCTGTACCCAGTGATCAGATCAACAAGACTGTCAATGGCAGTTCAGAACAGGCAAACACCCTGTGATGGACTGCAGCCAGTCCAGAGTCTAATCATGGGATCAAGATCCTCTAATCGATGAGTAGGTAGAGCTAGTAGATGGATTATTTCCCTGTCTTTTTATCTCACCTGGAGGGGGAGTTGAGTGAAAATAGTTCATCAGGATTCACCTGTTTAGCTTTATGGATGGAAGGGAACATTTTACTGCTAGTTTGGTGTAGACCAGGCTGGCCCCTGGAGGAGGAGGAGGAGGAGGAGGAGGAGGCAGCAGAGGGAGATGTTCTTGTGGGACAATGGGTTTCTCATTGTCATGTCTTCCCCCCCTCCTGCTTTCCTCTCCGTTCCTGTACCTCCTCCCCCTCCTAAACCCACCCCCACCTCCCTTCAAGCATCCCTCCTTTTTCATTCTCACTATCTCCCCTCAGACACCCCCACTCTCCTCATGTTTCTCCTCGTCTCCCCTATCCCTCTTCCATGTTCAGCTTCTCTATCCCCCCTGGAACCCTTCGTCTTTTCCCACAACGCCCCTTTCTCAGCCCTGCTGCCAACACTGCTGGTTAATTAGCCCGATGCTCCTTAGATGTGTGTCTGTCTCTGCGTGTGTGTGTGTCTGTCTCTGTGTGTGTGTGTGGCTTTAGTCATCAAAATCAAACCATCATCAACGTCACCCTTATTGCAATCATAATCATATCACTGTCATTATTATCATAATAATAATCCTCATTAGTATCATCATCACTATTATGTTTCTGCTGTGATTGGCTGATTTCGCTTTGACAAAGAACTTATTTTAATGAAACTTTTAGGTTTAAAACTGATTTGGATCAGTAAGAAAAGGGCTCAACTTAATGAATAGATAGACAATATGATATTGCTGGAAGCGGGTACACAATAATATTGAATAGTCACCCATCCTCTGAATTCACTTATGCCTTCCTACTTACTTTAATTAATTTGAAGTAATAACAAATGCTCCTTTCTTAGTTATATTTCTTTAATCAGGTTAATATTGTAGTCCATGCAGACAGAGTAGATGTCGGAAGGAAAGGAAAAGTCTCCTTT